ACCATCGACCGACTTTTCCTGTTATTCCTTTAGCGCGCATTTTGTGCGCTATTACGCCATGGTCACACTTGTCGAAGGCTTTTGCAAAGTCTGTATATATTACATCTGCATTCCTTTTTGTTTTCTAGTGCATTTAGGACCTTGTCGTAGTGATCCAGTAGTTGAGACAGACAGGAGCGACCTGTTCAAAACCCCATTTTTGCCCTGGGTTGTGTAACTGATGGGTTTCTAGAGGGGTTTGGTGATCTTGCTTTAGGACCCTTTCAAAGATTTTTATGATATGGGATGTTAGTGCTATTGGTCTGTAGTTCTTTGCTGTTGCTTTACTGCCCCCTTTGTGGAGTGGGGCTATGTCTGTTGTTTTTAGTAACTGAGGGACGACCCCCGTGTCCATGCTCCCTCTCCATAGGATGGAAAAGGCTCGTGATAGGGGCTTCTTGCAGTTCTTGATGAACACAGATTTCCCTGAGTCTGGCCCTGGGGCGAGTGCTGGGCATGTCATTTATCGCCTGTTCGAAGTCATTTGGCGTCAGGATAACATCGGATAGGCTTGTGTTAGTCAAATTTTGTGGCTCTCTCATCCTAACTAAATTTGAAACTACCCAAAGTCCTAGCCTCAATAACCCAACTAGGTAGACTAAATCTTTAACTGAATTTGTAACTTATACTGCACTTTTCATTATTCCTACTGTGTACACTGAGGTACTGCATAGGAGGCTGGGGTTACGCAAGATGGGGATATCTTTCTCGAATTTCACAGTGGTTAAAATACATCTAGTTATTATATTCGTGGCAGAAGTGAAGTGCTAAACTCATAGGGGTCACACAGCTCCTGGGGAAGAGGGAGGCAATAAGGTGTGATCCAAAGAAAGGATGTTTAATTTTTTTGGATCAAGACCCTCTCTCAAAATTATAGTTTCCAAATTACATCTTTCTTGGCACTTTCCAGTCTCCCACATCTATTTTCTTATTTCTTAATCTCATATTCATGTTCCTTGGCACAATGACCCATTTCCTTCATGAAAAATTCCAGCACATTCACTGAATGTATCCGACATAACACCACCAATTTAAAGACCATTGAGGACACAATGAATACTGCACTGTATACCTTGGGATCCTAAAATCAGCCAATGATACCTTAATGCCAACATGGTAGAAGTACAACTCACCTGCCAGCATTTATTGCAGTATCCTACAAAGTACAACTCACCTGCCAGCATTTATTCAGTATCCTACAAGTAAAAACTCACCTGCCAGCATTTATTGCAGTATCCTACAAAGTACAACTCACCTGCCAGCATTTATTGCAGTATCCTACAAAGTACAACTCACCTGCCAGCATTTACTGCCAGTATCTTACAAAGGGTTTTGTTTTTCTCATCACGGGTGAGACACTTCCAGTGGTCAGCCACTAACTCTGGGTCTTCATCGGTTGATTCATCGGTGTCATTATCATCGGGCCAGAATTCTCTCTCAGAACCCCAGAGGGCATGTGAAGCTAAAACTCCAGCCCCAAAATTCTGAAATATTTTTTTTTTTAAATGTACCACTTAAAGGTAGGAGGTTGGGAGACAGCAACCACCCAGGGAGGTACTACCATCCTGTGGTAAATAGGTTGGTAGACAGCAACCACCCAGGAGGGACTACCATCCTGTGGTAGTAGGTTGGTAGACAACAACCACCCAGGGGGTATACCATCCTGTGGTAGCAGGTTGGTAGACAACAACCACCCGGGAGGTATACCATCCTGTGGTAGCAGGTTGGTAGACAACAACCACCCAGGGAGGTACTACCATCCTGTGGTAGTAGGTTGGTAACAACAACCACCCAGGGAGGTACTACCATCCTGTGGTAGTTGGTTGGAGACAACAACCACCCAGGGAGGTACTTACCGTCCTGTGGTAGTTAGGGTTTGGTTTGACAGCAACCACCCGGGAGGTACTTTCCATCCTGTGGTAGTAGGGTTTGGGAGACAGCAACCACCCGGGAGGTACTACCAACCTGTGGGGAGTAGGTTGGTAGACAGCAACCACCCAGGGGAGGTACTCCAACCTGTGGTTTGTAGGTTGGTAGACAGCAACCACCCAGGGAGGTACTACCATCCTGTTGGGGTAAAAAGGTTGGTAGACAGCAACCACCCTGGGAGGTACTACATCCCGTGGTAGTAGATTGGTAGACAACAACCACCCAGGGAGGGACTACCATCCTTGGTAGTAGGTTGGTAGACAAAACCACCCCGGGAGGTACTACCATCCTGTGGTAGTAGGTTGGTAGATGGCAACCACCCAGGGAGGTACTACCATCCTGTGGTAGTAGGTTGGTAGGGCAACAACCACCCAGGGAGGTACTACCCTCTGTGGTAGTAGGTTGGTAGACAACAACCACCCAGGGAGGTCTACCATCCTGTGGTAGTAGGTTTGGGAGACAGCAAACCACCCAGGGAGGTACTACCATCCTGTGGTAGTAGGTTGGTAGACAGCAACCACCCAGGGAGGTACTACCATCCTGTGGTAGTAGGTTGGTAGAACGCAAACCACCCAGGGAGGTACTACCATCCTGTGGTAGTAGGTTGGTAGACAGCAACCACCCAGGGAGGTACTACCATCCTGTGGTTTGTAGGTTGGTAGACAACAACCACCCAGGGAGGTAACTACCATCCTGTGGTAGTAGGTTGGTAGACAGCAACCACCCAGGGAGGTACTACCATCCTGTGGTAGTAGGTTGGTAGACAGCAACCACCCAGGGAGGTACTACCATCCTGTGGTAGTAGGTTGGTAGACAGCAACCACCCAGGGAGGTACTACCATCCTGTGGTAGAGGTTGGGAGACAGCAACCACCCAGGGAGGTACTACCATCCTGTGGTAGTAGGTTGGTAGCAACAACCACCCAGGGAGGTACTTACCATCTGTGGTAGTAGGTTTTGGGAGACAGCAACCCCCCAGGGAGGTACTACCATCCTGTGGTAGTAGGTTGGTAGACAGCAACCACCCAGGGAGGTACTACCATCCTGTGGTAGTAGGTTGGTAGACCCGCAACCACCCAGGGAGGTAATACCATTCTGTGGTAGTAGGTTGTAGACAGCAACCACCCGGGAGGTACTACCATCCTGTGGTAGTAGATTGGTAGACAACAACCACCCAGGGAGGACTACCTCCTGTGGTAGTAGGTTGGTAGACAAAAACCACCCAGGGAGGTACTACCTTTCCGTGGTAGTAGGTTGGTAGACGGCAACCACCCAGGGAGGGGACTACCATCCTGTGGTGTAGGTTGGTAGACAACACCACCCAGGGAGGTACTACCATCCTGTGGTAGTAGGTTGGTAGCAACAACCAACCCCGGGAGGTACTACCTTTCCGTGGTAGTGGTTGGTAGACAGCAACCACCCAGGGAGGTATACCATCCTGTGGTAGTAGGTTGGTAGACAACAACCACCCAGGGAGGTACTACCATCCTGTGGTTTGTAGGTTGGTAGACAACAACCACCCGGGGGGTACTACCATCCTGTGGTAGTAGGTTGGTAGACAGCAACCACCCAGGGAGGTACTACCATCCTGTGGTAGTAGGTTGGTAGACAGCAACCACCCAGGGAGGTACTACCATCCTGTGGTAGTAGGTTGGTAGACAACAACCACCCAGGGAGGTACTACCATCCTGTGGTAGTAGGTTGGTAGACAGCAACCACCCAGGGAGGTACTACCATCTGTGGTAGTAGGTTGGTAGAACAACAACAACCAGGGGGGTAATACCAATCCTGTGGTAGTAGGTTGGTAGACAACAACCACCCAGGGAAGTACTACCGTCCTGTGGTAGTAGGTTGGTAGACAACAACCACCCAGGGAGGTACTACCATCCTGTGGTAGTAGGTTGGTAGACAACAACCACCCAGGGAGGTACTACCATCCTGTGGTAGTAGGTTGGTAGACAGCAACCACCCAGGGAGGTACTACCATCCTGCCAAGTGAGTGTAAAACGAAAGCCTGTAATTATTTTACATGGTAGGATTGCTGGTGTCTTTTGTCAGTCTCATAAATATGCAAGATTACAGGTATGTCTTGCTACTTCTACTTACACTTAGGTCACACTACACATACGTGTACAAGCATATATATATATATACACCCCTCTGGGTTTTCTGCTATTTTCTTTCTAGTTCTTGTTCTTGTTTATTTCCTCTTATCTCCATGGGGAAGTGGAACAGAATTCTTCCTCCGTAGGCCATGCGTGTTGTAAGAGGCAACTAAAATGCCAGGAGCAAGGGGCTAGTAACCCCTTCTCCTGTATATATTACTAAATGTACAAGGAGAAACTTTCATTTCTCCTTTTGGGCCACCCCGCCTCGGTGGGATACGGCCGGTGTGTTGAAAGAAAGAAAAATGTACCACTATTTATGTAGTCTTAATTGTGTTTAAAAAGGGATTTCTATGAAAATCATATCTGCCACTCCTAACATTAAAGGCAAGTCACACCAGAACTGTCTTCAGTGTTGATGTTTTAGAAGAATTGTGTTAAAATATAATAATGAACATTAAACAGATGCAGTACCAAATGCTTGTGATGTGGTGAATGATGGTGAAAGTTTTTTTTTTTTTCTTTCTTTTTGGGTCACCTTGCCTTGGTGGAAAATGGCCGTGTTAAAAAATCTCAATCTCTCTCTCTCTCTCGGGTTCCACACTCTTTACGATTGTGGCAGCTGTTGTTCACTCAAAAATACTCTAAAAAATTGAATTCTAGACATGCATTAACACCAAAACTGAAGAGCCCGACACACACCATTAAATGGATCAACTAGATTTCTACAATAAACAGAAACTAGGAATATCAAGATCTCCCTGAAACATACTGGAAAGATTATATAGCATAAATATAAGCCAATGCCTTGAAAGGAGTGTATTGGTCATAAAAACATGCTCTGAATTCATACCATTAAAAATGAGAGTACAATATGCATAAGAAATGACACTTCCTCTACAGATGGAGTTAAAAATAGATGGAAGTTATAAGAGGAACTAGACTCTCAAGATAAGACATATATTACTGACTCTAATAACAGAAAATATTGCAGTTAAAACTGAAGGCATCTTACAATGAACAGAAAAGAGAGAAAAATACTAAAGTAAAATTAAATGGAAAACAAATTTTTTTTCATGCAAAATCAATCATCATTATTAGGATCTTTGCTGACAACAAAGACATGAGCAAAATATTGAGGATACGATATGACTCAGTGTTTGGTGAGCCATTAATCTGCTTAAAGAATGGCAGAACAGAGAACTGTGAACTATTAGTGAATGTCATATATCTTTTATTGCACTTTTTAAACATGACAACTATGTAAATAACAATAAAGATCACAACACAGTATGTTTTTATGCATATTGCAGAAAGTGTGCTTAACAGGAACTGTATGTAAAATGTTAACTTTCTTTTAGTATTCACAACTTACAAACCTCCATCACTGAGGAAGCATCATCATCTAAATGCTTTAGGTCCTTTCCTGACTCTGAAGCATCTTCAATATCCTCCCCACATTCTTCTTCATTCTCCACATACTCACTGTTGAGACACAATGCTGCCAAGGAAAATTACATTACAAGTACTGTACATTAATAATAAAATTACAATATTCTCAGTGACACACTTTTCTCTGAATGGGTGAAAGAGGAAAGGGAACATTGCATTAATTTCTTCCAGTACATTATTATTATTATTATAATCAAGGGGGAAGCGCTAAACCCGGAGGATTATACAGCGCCTGGGGGGGGGATGTGGAAGGCATTCAGGCTTAATTCGGGGAACTGGAGCACAGATCCAACTCCCTAAATCAAGAGCCCCTCACCAACATCAAGGAACCTTCCTTGAGGGGTCTTCCAGTACAGAAAAGCTACACAGCATGAGTAATAATAAGCAATCTCTCCTAGAATTCCAAGTTTGAAAGTGTGCCCAACCTGTTAGTATAAAAGGAACAAATATCCAGAAAAATGAAATGTGAAAAAAGCTGCCAAAGACCTGGGCAGAACAAGCTGTTGAGGATCTAGACAAACAACTTTATTTCTTTCTGCAGTATACAAAATGCAGTTTACTTGTAATAAAATATTGTTAAGCACAAAAGAAAGCCACTAACATGCAGTGCATTCCGGGAACACTAAGTACCTTTAACTTGCAATGAAGTTTTTCTTGGTCAAGCTTTTGTGTATGTAGCTCTAGAGGTCACCAAACATCTCCCCTTCTAGTGAAAAAGCCATTGTGTAATTAAGATTCACAAAGCGATAAACCCATACAAGTCCTCCATTACACTGCTACTGTATGACATTATTTAGCCTAGCAGCAATTCCAGAATTCTTATGCAAAGCACTTTGTCACTGTAAATTTTGGCAACTGCTCTTTTCTGCCACTTATGGCCTTCTAGAATTCACGTTGGCTGGGATAGAACATGGAGAGTGATGAAGCAAGGACAAGAGAATCAGTTGTACTGTATCACAAAAAAGCAATAACAAGAACTGCAATTATGGACCTGTACACATATATGGATGAAAGGTTGAGTCTTAGCTCCTAACTTCAACTTTCTACTTGTCAGAATCATTCTCTTTCCTGCCATGATCACTTCCTCATCAAGATCATTCCACTTCCCAGCTACTCTGAAACTAAAGACATACTTTTTTTTTTACATCCCTTTGGTTCATCTGTGTCCTTCAATTCCAGCTCTGCCCCTGAGTACCCATTTCCCACCTCCGTCTACCCTATCAATTCCTTTGAGTATTTCCTATATTGTTACCATTTCATAATGTTTGAACGACAGTCTACCTTTGAACAAAATCAAAGACTCGTCAAGTACAAGATTCTTGAATGGATAAAAGTACATGTTGAACTTTTGTTTCAGATACATAAACCCATTTCTAATCTTGTATAACCTGTCACTTTTGTCAGGCCTGGTTTTCTCAGAAAAGTGAAGCATACGTACCAGTAAGATAAACCTGTTCACTGGGATGATTTCACTGAAGGCCGGGGTAGAAATTAGCGGATCTGTGGACCAGTATGATTTTATATTATGCTTATAGACATGACGCATAAGCATTATTGTTGCAAAAACCAAATACATTTCTGCAACAGTTGTCTCTTTCCACCGGTGTAGTCTTGACTGTGGTGATATCATTGTATTTGCCATGGTGTACTCAAAATACTTGTTACTTTCCCTGACAATAGTTTCCATCAATGGCTGGTCAAAGAATAGTTCAAAGAATTCCAGTTCATTTGCAGTGTTTCCAAGGGAACAAGTTGGTAGAATTCCACTTTGAGAGTCATCAAAGTGGTGGGACTTGGGAACAAAATTGGGATTTTGCTGCCAATCCCACATACGGTTTGCTGTTGGATACTGGACATCATAAGCTGGCTGTGCTGGTAGTTGTGGTTGTGGTGGGCTGGTGGCTGATGCTCCGTTTTGTCCTTGAACTGTGGAGTCAGCAGTGCGGGTCCCAGCCTGGGCTGGTGAGTCAAGCATGGCCATGGCACTACCATCACCACTATCACCACCTACTGATGCCTGTGGTCTATCCATGCCAAGTGCAGCCACATCATCCTCACTTTCACTGTCTATTCCTGGTGTAGGGCCACGGGATGTACTCCGTCCCCTGCATAGAGAACACTACCCGAGCACATGCGGCGGCGTATATACCGACGCTTCACTGGTGAATATGTTTCCTCACTATCACTACTTGAATGATCGTCAAGAGCAATAAAATCACAATCCACATCACTAACATTGTCATTACTGAAGTCAGAGGCCTGGCCATGCAAAAATAATAGTTTTCTCTTGCGATGAGGTACAACTGAACATGACTGAGGCGTGCCCACACCAGAGGTAGAAGGTTGAGGATCGTCAGGGTTTTCTGCACTATTATCGATAACCTGGTCAGTCCTTTCGGTCACTAACTGATCAGTCATAGAATTCATCTTCATTTCCACTTCCATCAGTCAGTACTATCAGATAGGACGAGGAGAGTCCCAATTTTCCTTGGAGTGAGAGCTGCCTTGCAATGAGGCATGGTGAACAAAGGTAACTGAGCCGGTGTTCCCACAATGCTATGCGGGCGCCTAGAATTTTTTTTACGGCGCACACACACCACGCAGACCCCTTCTCTCGCTAGAATTTTGGCATAGATCTACGGCTTGGACCCTGAATGTAAAGCCGTAGATCTACGGCACGGACCCTGAAAGAGTTAATAGTTATAGCATATTCTTGCTAATGATAATGTATGTAAATCTTCCTTGTCAATTGTTTTATTGTATCCTTTTAGATGTGGTAATCACATTTTCCTTTTCTTCCTGTTAGCCAGTATTAAATGCTTTCATCATTACTTCATAACTTTTTTTTTAATACTGGGAGCACATTTTTCTCAAAGCTACGCATGTGCATGACCACACAAACAGCCAATTAAGTAACGTGAACTAAATATTCAGTCCACACATACTTAGTGAATGATTTTAGTTGTCAATGACTTGCTTATTCAATATTTTAGTAATGGCTTAGAAAAGCTTGTAAACCAAGCAAAATATTGCCATTTTTAAAGTGATTCACAGTGCATTAAAGGGTCCTGTTTTTTACTTATATTCTAGTGCAGTAGCTTAATTTTTTGTTGCAAATGTATTCTACCTCTTACATAGCTGTAAGCTATAGTAAATTTAAAAACTACATTAATACTACTGTATGTAGATTATTTCCCTGCAGCACACATTCTCTCACTACTTTCACACTTAATGAATATAAAGCTAATTTAAATCTAAATCCAAGAAAAAAAAAACTGGTACAGCTATATGCTGTTTATCTTTGAACTTTTTTCTAGTTTGTTCATATTTCTTTTAGTTGTGGACACCATACTACCAATGCTAAAATAAAATGCTATTTTACAAATCCTAATCTTTTTTTTTTTTTTTTAGCATTTTTCCTTTCATATGACTAAAGGCTATTTTAACCCCTTGACTGTCGCAACCCCAAACCCTGAGGTGTCTCCTGGTGTTGCAAAATTTCTGAAAAAAAAAAAAATCTTATGAAATGATAGAGAATCTTTTCCCGATTGTAATGACACCAAAAGAACAAAATTTGATGGAAAACTGACGGAATTACACTCTTGCAAAGTTAGCGACCTTGGTGATATTTACAAATTGGCGATTTTGCCCACATTGAGCCCTATTTTCGGCTGATTCCATTGTTCCAGTCGACCAAACTCATACCTATTTCTTTAGAACTCCATTTTTTCTATCGATTGAGCAAGATAACTCCCTATTTAGCCCAATTTCAATACCAATAACGGTCAAAATTTGCATTTGGCCAATTTTTCCCAAATTAAAAATTGACTCTTCACAAATGTCCAAAAAAAAATGATAAATTCAATGCCTAAAAAAAAAACTGACTTTCTGTTCTCATCTTGCTCCAGGTCCCTTTCGTATATTCTTTTGCTTTCTATTTTGAATTTATTCAAGCAAAAAAAGAGATTTACTTTTTATTGTTTTTAGCAATTTTTCCTTTATATGATAAAGGTATTAATGTCAACCAATTCATGTCGCATATAGAAGGCACTTGGCTATTGGAAAATTACATCATTTGTTTAACTTTTAAACATCGGAAAAATAAACATTACCCCTATTTGAGTCAATTCAAGGTCTTTTCATAGTAAAACCAATAAAATACATTATTTCTATGTTAATTATCGATCCTAAGTGAATTAAAATGAGATTATCCAACATTATTCCTATTTTCGGCTGATTCCAAAGTCGGCATTTTAATTAACCCTTTGAGGGTTTTGGCCATACTACTACAGCTTATGACCCAGGGTTTTTGACGTACTAGTACACCTAAATTCTAGCGCCCTCAAATCTAGTGGGAGAAAGCTGGTAGGCCTACATATGAAAGAATGGGTCTATATGGTCAGTGTGCACAGTATAAAAAAAATCCTGCAGCACACAGTGCGTAATGAGAGAAAAAAAAAAACGACCGTGTTTTTGGATTAAAACAGCGACTTTGCACTGTATTTTCGTATGGTATTTATTGTTGTATTCTAGTTTTCTTGGTCTCATTTTATAGAATGGAAGACATATTACAGAAATTGAGATGATTTTGACTGGTTTTACAATGAAAAGTACCTTGAAATTGAGCTCAAAGTATCAGAAATGTTCGATTTTTACCAAAGTTCAAAAGTAAACAAATCATGCCAAACGTCCAATACACATCAACTGGTGAGTGTAATATTCTTTCGCAAGTGCGCCAATATTATTTATACCATTTTTTACACTAATGCAGTAGTCTGCATAACAATAAATCTTCTATTTTTTGTGAGAATAAAAATTCAAAGTGGAAAGAAAAAAGAATATAAGAGGGGCCTTGAGACGTGACTTATGAACAGAGGAAATGTCATTTTAGTGCCAGGAATGTCTTTCTTGTTTATTCTGGACCCTATTCGGAAATTGGCATCTTTTGAAATTTGTGTGAAATTGGCAAAATTGCTAAATTCTGACCACTGTACTGGATAGTTGAAATTGATAAATGGGTGGTTTCTTGCACTCATTCGATGGAAAAAA